AATAACTGTAATATATACCGGGCTGCTAAATCCTAAGAACTGCTACAGGATTTGATTTGTAGATTTGATTAGTTTTTGATCTGTATTTTTGAGAATTATGTAACTTTTTTAACTTTTATCTTCTTTTAGCATATTTATTATTGTTTATTATATTATAACTTAGTACTTTTTTAGCATATTGTTGTGTTGTTTGTTTATTATATTATAACTTAGTACTTTTTTAACGCATTTCAGATATGCAACACTAAGCTGTCTGTGGCTCTTTCCTGCTGTAACGCTGNNNNGAGTGTGTGTGTGTGTGGGTGTGGGCGTATGTGTGTGTGTGTGTGTGTGTGTGTGTGTGTGTGTGTGTGTGTGTGTGTGTGTGTGTTAGTATAAACAGCTGATTATGATCACAGGAACGTGACGCAGAGACTTTCTCCCCCTGTGATAGTTCTACTGCGTTACTGCATGAGTACGGAGGCTCTGAAGGGTCACATGTTCCATAAATTCAACTTGTTATCTTGGGGAATACTATGAGTGAATTGTGTCTCTTAATGGCTACCGTAGGTCTTCAAATAGTGGAAACAAAATCACAATTTGAGTCAAAAAGATGATTTTATTATCTCAAGAGAAGAATCCTGTTATCTCTAAGAAGATATTAATTATTTCTTGACGATAAAGTTAATTATTTGTGATGTCGAGAACACTTAAAATATACTTTAGGAAAACTAAGAATATACGATATTTATTTAAAGGCCTTTATAGCTAAATTAGAGTTTGTTAACAAGTTATAAAAAAAGTGAGAAATTGCTCAGAAAGTCTTACGTAACACTGGCTAGCCTCCAACACATTGTACGTGATAGGCTAAGGGGCGGGACATTTCTAAGCTGGTTGACCAATCACAACAGAGCCGGCCAGCTAACAGAGCAGACTGGGCTCTGGTTTCAGACGGAGGGTGAAAAGAGGTGCTGCAGCACAGGCAGTATGAGAACAATAAAGAGCTTTTTGAACATTAAAGCATGGAGACATGTCCCAGATGTTAAACAGAGGAAATAAAATGTTTGAATCATGACCCTTCAAGGCTTCCATACACCGAGTACATAATCAAGGGACCAAATATATAAACATGTTAGAAAAGTCAAATTGTTGTGCTTTAAAAACGACCTTTTCCTGGTTTAACTATAAGCTGAAGTAACTGTGTCTTGTAGCAGTAATGTGTAACCGGAGTAAAATGTAAACAGATGAAGTTAAACTGCGGCTCGGATCATGCACAGCAGGAATTCAGAGGAAACCCCTCCTCCACACACACACACACACACACACAGCATTGCAACACTCGGAAAATGGAGTCAATGAATACATGGCACCGGGTCGTTAATGGGGTGGGGGGGGGGGGGGGTGTGTGTGTGTGTGTGTGTGTGTGTGTGTGTGTGTGTGTGTGTGTGTGTGTGAGAGCAGAAGGAAACTCCCCCTGAAGGCGGTGCTCCTCCCGGACTGAGCACCGAGAAACATCCCGACAATGAGCCCAGCTTTCCCACGTTTTCTCTCCTCACACACACACTCACACTCTGGGTCATTAACGGACACACACACTAATGAGGATTAATCCGGAAACAACCTGAGACTCTGCAGCTCGGATCTAACAGGTAAATAATGTGACTTTTTCTGCACGATTCTGGATCTGGAAACTTCTTTGTTTGTGTGTTTTCTCTCCGGGAACTCACACACACTGGATCGTTAAGAGACATACTACACACACTAATGAGTATTTAACCTGTGATTCTGCAGCTCGGATATAACACACACACACTCCGGTAAAAACTCGGTAAAATGTGACTTTCTGCAGGATTTTCTCCGTAAACGTGTGCGCGTGATTGCTCTGTATGGGAATGTGTGTGTGTATATGTTATCCAGATGTAGAACAGGCATTTAGACTCTAGAAAAACGGTGTGCAAATACGCGATTTCTCTACATTACGATTAGCCTTCGTACTTGATTTAGAAGCTGCAAGAAAGAACCTGCATTGTTTGTGTAAAGTATTTACTAGCTTAAGTAACTAAATGCCAAGTAAGGGTAGAAGATATTTATTTTAAATACTTTGAGCACTATAAACTAGTCCTGCTTTGTTTGGGTAAAACTCTACGGAAAGGGATTAGGGCCATATGTGAGGGTTTTTTTAGAGTTCCGAAAAAAAGTGGGAATTCTGAGATTTTGACTTTTTCCTCAGAACTAAAATACAATCACTTTTGGTCAAATCTAATCTGACCCTAATCCTCTTTAATCTGTATTGTTAGTCAAATGCAGAACATCTCTGCTGTTTGGAAGTTTAATGTTCACCAAAACTTATTTTTTAAAACTAAAACTAAACAAAAATGGAGCTAGTAAAGAAACACTGCACTTTAAAATACTCCATTTCAAGTATAAGTACTTCATTTAAAGTTCTGTTTTGGTGAAAGTATTCAAAGTGAAGCTACATAATGCGGAACATGTCCCGTGTTAGAAGTTATCTCAAAATACTTAATTAAAGGGATTGTTAAAAGTCCTTAAAATTCACACGATAAAATAAGTCCTGCATTGTTTTGGTAAAAGTCTGTAGTGTTAGTAAAATACAGAGGTGTAAAGTACCTAAGTACATTTACTCAAGTACTGTACTTAAGTACAATTGTAGGGTACTTGTACTTTACCTGAGTATTTCCATTGTATGCTATATTGTATTTCTACTCCACTACATGTATTTAATACCTTTAGTTGCTTTACAGATTTTGATTAATTAACTCTGTAAAGTAACTCGCCACCAGAGTTATAGAAGGGAAGTTAAAGTGCCCTTTAAAATACTAAATTACAAGTAAAAGTATTGAATTTAAGTTGTTGTTTGGGTAAAAGTACAAAACTACTTTGAGCTAAATGCAGTTTAGGTATGACAAGTGAAGCTATATGATGCAGACATGTCGGGGAGTTTCTTTTATGACAAAACATCAGATGTTATAAAGTGATCAGATGTAAGTCACTCTCTCAGCAGCACAGTTAATAATACTTTTATAATGTATGGTTTCTGTAGCAGTGATTTCATAATACTCAGACAAATCATCAGGAGGGAATCTGACTCACTTCAACACGCCTCAAAGCGAGGTATCAGTAGTGGTGTCAACATCACAATGAATCCAAATGACCTAAATCATAATATGCAATATTCAAACCAGGAAGCTTCATATTTCTTCTACAGTGAACTCTGTCTTCCTGTTTGTTTCTCAGCGTAGTGTGTGTGTGTGTGTGTGTGTGTGTGTGTGTGTGTGTGT